GTCCGTCAGTCCCACACCCTGTTTTGGAAGTGCAATGGTCCCCAGAACTGCTGGAGGGTGGTGCGAAATGTCCCCCCACCTCTGTGACTACAAAGATAACATTATTTGCAAAGGTCTCTGCTAGCCTTGGGGGTGAGAGCACTGTATCAACGGGCGAGAGTGAGATATCTATTATTGCCCTGCCTGTACCAAGTCCCCATCACTCTGCAAAAATAATCATCATCAGAGGAGTCCAAAAGGCTGAGCGACTCTGCCTCTTGCAATATTAAACTTTCCCATTTTCTTCTGCCACTTTAAAGATTCTCTTTCTTACTGCGAGTGATAAATAGTAACAGCAAAAAACCACCCCACAGACACACAACAGACATCAAAAGCCAAGAGGAGATTGGCAAATAGAGAGATCTGAAGTGAGCAGAGAGGAGGCCTGGTTGCGAGTCGGTTCACGTAGCCCCGACTTCTGTTGCTTTCCATTAATTTTACCCGCCATCACAGGTGGCAGAACAACGGCGACAGCTAATTACTCTCTCTCGCGTTCCCTTTCTTGCCTGTTCGCTTGCAGCAAAAGAAAGTCAGTAAATTCCCAAATTCCCCCCTCCCCATCCCAGAATCGTCCACTGAGAGGCAGAGGCACGTGGGAAGCGCATTATTAGAGGAAGACGAGGCGGTGCAATTTGCCCGCACATATGCTCGCTGCCTGGTGGAGCCGTTTGCTGCCGCTGCTCCTCCATCCTGGCACCATGGCTACGTGACGCTCTGCCTGCAAACGAGCTGGCAGAGGCAGGCAGCGGCTCGAGGCAAGGGGAGAGGAAGGGGTAGCTTTCCCCCACCGTCGTTGGGACACCAGGGGCTTTCAGCCCGATGTGCACGGCGCTAAAGCTGATGGGGACACATCCATGGAGGTGCTGCCAAGCAGCCCAGGTCCCCCTTGAGCCTTTCTTGAGCAGAAGATGCTGCACGGGCGGCAGCAGCGAGGAGCTGTGGAGCAGCGTTTTGGTGGGCTGAGCTGCTCTTCAGCTGCAAAGGGAACAGGCTCCGAGGTGGAGATGGGATAAACCCAGGCCAGAGGGGGTACGAGACCCTATAGAGGCCATAGGATATGTCTGTGCTTAGATTGCTCTATGTGGTGAGAGGGAAAACATGCAAACGAGCAAAAGCCCTGCTGCTGGGGTTAATTCATCCCTATGCCAAAAAACCCCCACTCACGCCTCACTGCGACGCCTCGCCAGCCCTCTGCCCGACTCCCCCCGCTTGCTTTTGGTGACACTGGCCTGTCCCGTGTCCAAAAGCGAGTGACAGCCCAGGTGACATCGCGGGCGAACAAACCCCCCTGGGGAAAAAGATGCTCCTCGTCAAGGAATCGTGGCTGCCAGCGAGGGAGGAGGATTGGGATTTCAGCTCCAGCTTCAGCTGCCAGATGTCCTCAGCTAAGGAAAGGAGCAGAGGAACCATGTCTCCAGCAAAGGACCCCCCCGCCCCAGCCCACCCCCAACACCATGAGATGCCAGCAAAAAAATAAAACCCACACGTATGTGATGTATTATATAAGAGAGCACGAAGAAAACCTCTTAAGGAAAAAGCAGCTGCCTTGATTTCATCAAAGCTATATTCTCTATGGGGGGGTTGGGTGAGGGCAGAAGGAGATTTTTGTCTCCTGGGAAATTTTGTTGAATTTTGCTTCTTTTCCCTTACCACCCTAACGAAGAGAGTGAGGAGTCTGTGCTTAAAACCCCAGGACTGGCTTAGCGACTTATTGCTAACGAGCGGCACGGTTCACGGATGCTTCCTAGCCGACCATCTTTGGGTGAAGCCTTTGGGTGAGATGCTCGACCTCGCTTGCTTTTCCTAGCCAGAAAAACCCGGGGTGCAAACCCGATGCAAAACTTATCACCCCTTGCAAATTCAAGCAAGGTGACAGCTTACTCGTGTGTTTGAAGCAGGGATGGCCCCGAGGAGCTGGCTGTGGATTTATGCCCAGAAAAGGGGATTTATGTTGTTTAGACATTTTTCCTTTGTGTTCAGAGCTGTTTACTGACAAACATATTGGGAGGTATTAAAAATAAATGTCGGCTGAAGACCAAGATCTGGTATCTCTATCTGAGGATGAGGGAAGCCATAGGAGATACATTAGAGTGGTTCTCTCCCCGGGGAGAGAAAAAAATATCACACTTTGTGTCTGTTGTTTGATTTTAAGGCAGAGTAAGTTCATTTTCACCAGTGATGGAGTCCTGAGTGGCCCTGGGGATGACACTGAGCTCACGTTCTGCCTTTTCACACCTCCAGATATCTTAGTCCTGGGGCTCTACACGTCCCACCCCTTTACCCACCTTCTTTCCTAGTCAGTGGCGAGGCGCAGGGGGCTCCTTGCTCGGATGTCCCACTCTGGAGGACTCCAAGCTTCGGTGCCAAAACATCTGCTGCCTTTACGTAGTTAGTGAAGAGCTTTGGGATCTTTTGGAAGGGAAATGAATCCCCCGCCCCCATCAATCAGAGCCATTAAATGGAAGGAAGCCCCGCCGAGCACTGCTGAATCCTGTTTGCTTGTCACAGTGGTAGGGAAAAAGCCTTGTGTGATGTTAACATGTTAAGGGAACTTAAGAAATGAGAAACCCAAAGTGCTTGTATTTTTCATGCCTCGTTTTTTTCCCCAAAAAAATCCCTTTTATGAGAAAGCATAACCTGAAAAAAAGTGCAATTAGTTTTGATAGTAAAGACCACCATGAAACGAGTCATGAAGCACTTTGCAGCAAAGCAGAAATCCCAGCGCTCAGGCAACAGGAAGGGTGGCAAGACACGTGGCCTTGGGATGGGCGAGAAGGAAAGAAGAGGGCGGCGGGCGGCATCTGCAGCTACAGGGGACAGAAAAAACCCTGCGCTAAGGAGGCGGCAGCAAAGACAGGAGAAGCGTGGCAGGTCCATCTGCTATTTGGTGGAGAAAAGCAATCCAGCATTGTTTTGGCCAGGGAGAGCCACGTACCCAGAGGGTGGAAACACCCAAGAGGAAGGAGAAAGCCCAGACGGGAGCCTTCAAGGCCGCTCCACTGCACAGGGAATCAGCCCGGTGGGGGTGCAGGGATGATGTGAAAGCCCCTATTGCTGAGGATCAGGCTAGACGCCCCGTCTTTGGAGCAGAAATTTTGCCAGGCCCTTGCCACCGTCTGGTTCCTCAGCCAAAGGTGGTTGTTTTGCCTTCGACTGTACCAGAATCAATCACGGCGTAAGACCCACGTGGGACGTTCTCCCAGATCCTTCCCCAGATTGTCATGGGCTTCGTTTTCCTCCTAACTGTAAATATGAAAACAAGGCTATTTGTATCTTTGACATTAATTGGCTTCTCAAATTAATAACTCTTCTGTGTAACTAGGAATGCAATTATTGCTTTGTTGTGCTGATAGCAGATATCCAGCCGGAAGTAATCGGTCCTACCAGCAAACTCGATTGTACTAATTAAGCCGTACAAGTCTAACAGGAGGTAGGTCATGGTAACCTGTCCCCGGAGGTGCCTCCTCTGTTATTATCAACTGACGCTGTTGCAAAACCAGAACTGATGGCATGCCTGCGTGTGCACGCTCGTAACTTCAAGGCAGGAGTGATGAGCGGCTGACTGCAGTGGTGGGACGGGGGTGTACCCGGTTGCTGTGAAACATCTCCGCGCTGGCTCAGGCACGGGCCCTCCTGACCACGAACTGGAGCCAGGAGGCTGAGCACGATGCTCTCTTCTCCCAAAGGGTGATGACAACCCACCCTGCTTTCCATAACCGTATTTTTGTCTGCTTAGACCGAGAAACCTTTGAGAGAATGGGTGTTTTCTAATGCTAGCAGCCCACATACCCATACCCAAGAGCTCATGGCAGCGACTTTGCTCGGTGCAGAGCCATCTGCACATCTTCTGCAGTGAACAAGACCGACTGAATGCAACACGGTGAGCAATGAGCCTCACTGCTGCAGGATACGGCTGTGGTTGGAGTCCCGCTCATCAATCCCTGCAGTATCTTGATGAGAACTGATCAAGGGAGGTTTGGGACTGCCTCGGCGTAGGCGTGCAGGCAGGGAGCCCCGTGCACCGCCTTCATCCCAGACCTACTGCAGTTGCAAGCGATGCATCTTCTCCTCCTGCAATTCTCCCCCTGTGATGGCCTCATCAGTGCCAAACAGCCCCTCAACCGCTCGTGCCCTGCTCCGAGCTCACCGTGGCCAGTGGAGGGGCACTGAAGACCCTGGCTAGCAGCGACGATCCCACCCACTCAAGGAGAACGTCCCACTCAAGGAGAGGCCATCCCCTATGTCCCCCCATGTCTCCAGCCCAGGCACCTCTGCTTCGGCCTCTTCTGAGCTCTAATCCACGCTGCCGGGGTTAGAGAGGCTTACGGCGGTTGCTTAGGGGTTACACAGAGACAGCAATGGAGTTGTATTGTTCAAATCATAAAAGAGTATGCAAAAAAAAAAAAAAAGGAATTTTCCCATAATAGACTTTTCACTCAGCGCGCTTTGCTCATTATGTCCCCAAACAGATGGCTCCGCCAGCTCGGTGCCAGGCCTCTTAATCCACTCCAAAGCGCCAGTGAATCTCTGACCGAGGACTTGCTGCATGCAGCAAAATGTAGCAGACGGCCTAACGTGGAAGCGATTGGAGCCTCTCAGCATGTAACAAAATCATCAAGGCAAGAGCAGCACTGGGGAGCCATCGGAGCGGGGACGCTGGGAAGAGGACCGCGCCACAGCAGGTCTCTGCTGCTCTGCGGGGACCAGGGGCTGTGTCTGGCTCCAGCCATTGCATCCCCCGGCTGGAGGACAGCAGAGGCCACGGGGATGAGCTAGAACAACCACCAAGCAATGATAAACGGGGGAGCAAGTGGAATAGCCACCAGAAACTGCAGCCAGAGCTGCTGAGCGCTCTTGGGTCACCTGGAGGAAATAACTTTGCATGGTGGGGAACGTGAGAAGCTCTCAGCGGAGGGCTGGAGCGAGATGTGCGGTGCCAGCGAGCGGGGCAGCTGCCTTACCTGTACTGGGTGACGGCAGGGTTGGCCTTGGCGGAGCAGTGGAACTTGACAGTGTTATCCTCGAGGACCGGCTGCGGCTCCACGGACAAGTTCACCAGGGGTGGGTCTGCAAAGAGACAGCGACAAGCCCGTGAGCGACCGGAAGACGTGGCACAGCATCCCCTTGCCTTGCCATCGGAGGCCTGCCAGGCTTCCGAGTCTGGAAAGCAAAATTTGGTCCTAAGAAAACATGGCAGAAGCCCCGAGACTCCTTGACGCTGTGATATAATGTTTAGGGCTTTGTAAGCCAGGCTCATGTCATGCACACTGCTCTCATCTTGGAGGGCTTCAGTAAATAAGACAGAAAGGGGAGCCACGCACACCACTCCATGTAGCATTTCACTTAAAAACCGTTAACGCCAGCTCTGATTCCTGTTGAAGGAAATAAACTTGCCTGCTTTGAAAAGCTCCCATTTAATATCTCGCTGTGTAATGATGATCTTTTGCCTATCTGCTAACTTGAAAGTGGCATTTCTGCTCTTTCATCAGCCTAATCATCTCTGCCAAGTCCTTACTGTTGTCACAGGCCTTTTGGTTCTTCCGACCAGTGCTCGGTTTTTCTTCTCCTTTTTACATGATAAGCATCTAAACGCTTTAGTGGCAAACAAAATTTAGGAGAGAACCGATGAAAGCAGGCGAGAAGAGAAAAGGGTGCAATGTTTAGATGGGGAATAATAATATCCAGAGTTGTTTTAATTTTTCATGATGTCTGAGAGGGGGTGTTAGACCTCCAGCTTTAGGTTTTAAGGATGGGACCTCATTTGAGGGAAAAAGCAGAAAGAAATGGCCTTGTGGGGAGGTTTTCTAGGTGCCTGAAGAACCAGTTGTCCCATTGGAGACTGCATTGGGGCTGCGGAGAGGAGCTGAGGCCAGCTCATCGAGCCGGCTGAGGGGCTGTCCTGCTGGAGTCTGATGCAGCATATGCAAAAATACATCCTAAAATACGATGTGCCATGTGTTCACCTCTACCTGCTGCCTCTCTCCTCTTCCTAAATATCTCAGCAACATCCTTCCCAGCTGGAGCATGGGGAAAGGCTGCAGTCGAGCAGCCACCCTGCCGCTCAACACCCAAGCAGATGGGGCCGGGGGTCAGCCCTGCTGACCCGGGGGAAGCGAAGCTGGTTGGCACCCCCTGGCCCAGGGGACCTGCCTTAGCACCACGGGATGGTGGGCCGGCGGCGTGCTGCAGTGCCTCCTCCTCCGCTGCGTCCCCACCTCATTAGGCCCCGTGGTATTTACCCAGCCAGAGCCTCGCTTTGTTGCGAGCAAAGCCACCTGCCTTCTTGATGGGAAATTATGACGGGGAAATTATAGGTATTTTCAATTTACCCTAATCTCATTTTAAAATGTGCAATTCAAATGACAATAAAGATGGGCGCAGTTGGGAATATAAATGAGCTTCCCTAACATAACAGCCCAGAGATATATAGTGGGCTCCTAAGTCATTTGCAGGCATCCTGACACTTCCCTATTGTTATAAAACAACAGCTAATCACCTTCCTTTGTTAAGTATGAATCACACTTCTCTTTAGTAGCTTCCCCATTGTTTGATGGTTTAGTAGCTGTGCCTACGATTTACAGAGGAGCCTCTTTGTATTAAAATGAGCCCAGCTCCCTCCTGCACTCAAAATGAAAAAAAAAAGGAGATTAAAAAGAAAAGGAAAAAAAAAAAGAGCAAAGGAAATGAATTAAACTCTTTGATCTTGCCTTTCAAAAATGGGATTGGGCTTTCTAATATCGTGGTAGCTTCCCCGCGAGGCAGCAGGTGCCGTGGATAGCATGGGTTTGTGTGCGCGAGTGTGTTTTGGGCTATTTTAAAGAAAAAAAAAAAAAGTAACACAAATTGTAACTCATCAGAATGTAATTCCACTCGGTTACAATTATAATTCCTGCCTGGCTTCTTGTAATTAATTTGAATGATGGAATCAGATAGAGTCAGCCTACAGGCGGCCGGGAGGAAAGCGTGCATGCAAATGTTCGCACGCCCAGGTACCACGTATCCCCGCGAGCACGCTTGTACCGGGGGACCAGCATCGCTCCTCACCAGCCGTGCAGTCAGTGAGGCAGCTGAGCAAAGCCCTCAGCTCCCACTATTTTAAATTAGCACCTGGGAAATGATTGCTGGGGTCACGGGCTGAGTTCCACGGGCTGCAGGCACCGTGCTGGCTCTCGCACTGCCAGGTGCAGATCCCTCTCCGTGCTCCCCTCCCCTCCGGAAGCCCAGACAAGCCCTTCCAAACCTCTACCCTGAATCCAAAAGCAGCCTGTGGGCCAAATGAGGAGGAATGAGGAGCTGGAAGCAGACTGAGATGCCTCTTCAGCTCCGGGCTTTCACACTCCCCAGTGGGAAGCACAAAAGGGAATCAAACACTCCAACGCTACAAGGATAAACACAGCAGGAGACCCTCCAACACAGTGATGTGGCCCTCATTTTGCTCATCACCCTGGTCCACAGACCCTCCGCTTTCCTTCTCCTACTCCCACCTCCTGCAAAAAATACAGATGCAGTCAAATCCCTTCTTGCCATGAAAAAAAAAAAGGTGTAGAAATGAGCAGCTGCACCTGTGTGTGCAGAGGCTTGGAGCAAATGGCTTTGGATAAGCAATAACCCTGCTCCTCCCCATCCCGGCACACTGGATGTGCATTTCCATAGAGCCACTGGGCTCTGGCAGTATAAATAGTTTATGGCATATCAAACTATTAAACATGATTTTAATCCCACTTGTGATGTTCAGCTCATAACTCACAGGATGCTGACTTTGATGTGGCTGGTGGAACGGAAATCACATTGAACAGATGTTCCAGCTGGAGTCGCTTAGTGTTTCCATTACAGACCCTGCTCTGGGTTGGTTTTTTTTTTTCTTCAGTTCCTTTTTTTTTCCCTCCCCCCCTTTTTCTTTTTTTTTTGGAAGGGGAGCAGACCCTGCTCTGGGTTGGTTTTTTTTTTCAGTTCCTTTTTTTTCCCCTCCCTTTTTTTTTTTTTTTTTGGAAGGGGAAGGTTTTATGACTCAGCTATTTCATTGCTGCTCAGATGGTCAGGCAGTGCCTGCATGAGATCGATGGGAGACAAACTTCAACTTTGCGTCAGCTGAAAGAGGATATTCTCTCCCACCACGCACATGTACCCTGGGTAGGAAATAACGCCCACCCTGGCGTTTCTTCGCTGAGCGTGAGCATTTTTCATGCTCTTTTGAGTTGCAAAAGAAAACAAAAGCAGGAGGAGTGATCTACCAGGCTGCTGCTTCCTGGGAGGGATTATTTTTGGTTCCCTGGGATTATTTTGCAAGGCCGTGTCTTTCGAACCCTGCAGCTGGGCAACGTTTGCTACGGTGTGAACAGTGGAGGCAGAGATGTGCAGGCTCCGGGATGAAATGCAGCAGGTTGTGCCGGGCTGGGGAAAGCTCACCAGCCAAAACCTGCTGCCTACCTCCTTATCCTTGCAGAAACCCCTTCTTTTTTCCCCCCAAGGTGCTGCTTCTCTGCTAGCTGTTGGAAGAAGACCCAGAGGAAGGACCTCCTTTCATCGCTGGGGTGGTGCAGAAGGGTATGCCGCCTACCTTGCCTCTGCAGCCAGCCTTGCCCAGGACAGTTCCCCAGGAGAAACGAGTGGCCCAGATAATTTTTGTTTACGAAAAGTACTTTTAGCTCTTCACAAAGTGAAAGCAGCCCATTGCCTACCAGGTTGGGAGTGAAACCTAATGGACTGGGCAGCAGCTACGGCAGGCTCTTGCATCGGGGACAAAATCCACCCCACCGCAGGCTGGTTAATCCATCTTCGTATTTTTCTATCCCTCCATCACCCATCCAGCACTGGGAAATTGATATCCTCATTAGAACCCGTTAAGAACAACATACTTTTAATAGCTGGATAGGATATTACTATTATTATTACTTTCACAGCGTGGCGTATTTAAGGCTCGGAGTGGAAATTGGTGTTCTTTATTGGGTCTTTCTCTTTTCAAAGCAGATTCCATCAGGTTCAGGGATTCAGCTCACGTCTCCTGCCCCGCACTGTACAGCACAGTGTAATGATGTCTCCGGCTTTGCGTTGTTTGTGAGAACGCGTGTGCGTCTCCAGCTATTGTAAGTGTTTGCTGGCTGTGAAATAACCCATGCTATTATTTCATTTTATCTGGCCGGTTCTGTCAGGACACGCTATCCAGCGACCCAAGAGCCTGTTAATCTTCCGGCAGCAAAAGCTGGAAGTCTTAAATGGTGAATTTTCTGCTGTGCTTGAGTTTGTTCAGCCAGTTTTAATTGGACTCTGGAAAGCAGCTGGCATGCTAATATTGAACACCCTGCATTTGCAAATTGTTGGTAAATACAGCTGCAGGAATTGTGTGTGCAAATGAAGCCCGGCTGGAGGGAGGTCGGGATGAACCCAAGAGCAACAGCTATTGCAGAGGAGGAGGGAAGAGATCTGTGAAACGTGAATTTTTGAGGAAGGAAGACTTTGCTTCATGGATTTACAGTAAAGGGTAAATGATATGGCTCTTGACACACACCTGTCCCTATCAGATGGTGATTGACACTAGCTATATTTCACAGGAGGGAGACTTGCCACCGATTAGGTGTCTAACATGCTATCTCAGTGGCGAACAATACAAATAACTTACCGTTGAACAGCTTGTAAGACTGGAAACATGCGTTTTTGTACCAGAAACCTTAATGGGCCTTATCTCTGCTACTGGCCGGGTCCAGAGATGCTGCTTTCTCAGCCAAAGACATTTGGGATACATCCCTGCTCCAGAGACCCCAGAGGCCTGGATCAGGGCACACAGTCTGTCCACGTGCAATGCCCACCGACCACCCAGAGCATGGCAGCTGGTGCTGCTTTTGCTCAAAACCATGGATACAAGATGCAAAAGCTGGGAAGCAGCCTGTCCCCGTGGGTGTTCGTGTCCCTCTGGTGCCCCAGGGAGCTCAGGGGAGATGAGCTCTCTTGTCTCTGACTTCACGTATCGACGTACCAGTAAATCCCAGTAAAGGGAAACCCCCAAACCCCAGCAACCTGCTCCTGACTGGAGTCAGACCCATGTGGGCAGCCCTGGGGCAGCGATGGAGAGAGCAGGGAGGCTGGGATCACACAGTAGTGTGAGGTAGTTCAGCTGGCTGCGTACTCACGCTGGATATCAATGGTGACGGAGGTCTCTTTCCCACTGGGAATGGCTTTGTTGGTGGCACGGCAGACAATGCTCTCCCCGTTCTCAATGTCAGAGGGGGCGACGAAAAGCGTGCTTATGATACTCTCCCTCTTGCCGTCACGGAGGAGTGTCTGTGGGGGGAGAAACAGAGATGAGAAAAGGCAGTTTCCTACAGGAGAGGGGCCCCTTCCCCTCGCCAAGAGTTGTGCCAGGCTCTGCACACACACAGCTAGCCCTCGCTCGTACGAGCTTCTCAGCCAAGCAGCGCTCTCTGCAATAACAGTTTCTCTGGCTGGAATCTGCCAAGAAGCCTTAGGGGAATAGCATAGACAAATTTCACTGCACTTCCCTGGGAACTGGGCACTTAACTCCCATCTGCTTCGCTCCAGCCCTGCTGTGCCTAGACCGGGGGAATCACAGCTCCAGCGAGATATGTCACCCACCGTCCCAGGAAAGAGGGAGCCAAGGGACAGACAGGGCAACTGGCTTCTTGAACCTGCCCTCACTTGGTGATCACTGTGATGGGGACCTGAGGATGCCGGAGATGCAAAACCTCAAGCCTGGTACAGCAGTGGTTAACCAGCTCTACCTGCTCAGCCTTGGCACCTTGTTTCTTCCCCGGACTTACCTGACTGACTTCCAGCCGTGGTGCCCTGCCATGCCTTTATCGGCGAGCCCCGGGATCCCTGCCTTATCAAACTCCTAATCCTCCTGCAAGTTCTTACAGACCATGGTCACGTCACCCTGTAGCCCTGTCTTTGGTAAACTAAACTGATCGGGCCCTCGGAGGCTTTCACGACGTTGCATGGTTTTCAATCTTTTAATCATTATCTGGGCTTTCCTCTGACCTCTCTCCGATTTATCAACATCCTCCGGGGACCAGAAATGCCAGAAAGACAGCTTTTCCCAGCCGTTGATAATAGTGGTAAATGCCCACGGATACACCCATCCCATAACTATGTATTTTGGACCCTGCCAGGCAGTTTTTCTCTCTAAGTCTGTATCCTTCAAGTTTCCTCCTCACAATGTAAGACAAGTGCTTTATTGAATTATAAACATATGGCAGCAAGACTAATGCTTTCACTACCTGGGTTCGTCGTGACACAGCGTTCACGCATACAGGTTTGTGCCTCTCAGGCACACTAGACAAGGAACGGTGCTGAGAAATTGTCATCACAATCAGCCCAGCAGCTGGGGAGAAGCAGGACCAAGACCTGTTAGTACGTGATCCTCAGGGCCTGAGTGCACCAACGGTCCTTCATTTCCCTGACGAACCTCATCTGGGGCCTCTACCCAAGAGCTCTTCACCCTTTGGCCCAGGAGCTGTATTTAAGCTCTAGCTCTAGCTCAGGCTCTCCTTTAGGTATGCTGACATGGGTTGGATTTTCTGGCTTGACTTCAGAGCTGTCTCATCACTATTGACTTTCTGGGGATTGCTGCGCTGTTGGTTGACCCTGCTATGACCACCAAGCCTGCTCTGCTCCTCCTGTGCTGGTGCTGTGCCCTTGGCGGTAAGGATGCTGCCCTGTGCTTGCTTTATTGTCACCCTGCGTGCCCTTTGTTTGTGGAACAGCCCCACTTTTGGTGCTGAACCACCGATGTGGTTCACCACATCGGTGAACCCTAAGCCTGTGCAGGACCTTTCTGCCCCTACAGTGCCCCTGAACTCTGGGTTAGCCTCCAAACCCTGCAGGGTCCTCTAATATCCCCTGTGGCTATAGGGACCATTCCCTGTCCCTTTCGATAGGGATCAGGGTAAGTATGGGGGTTTTCAGTCAGCTATGGCTATGCTGTACTGCCTGGCTGCGATTGCAGGGGGGCTGCATATTAATCAGTGGGTGGATTGGAAATTCAGAGAAACAAAGAAATTATCACTCAGTATAAATGGTTTCAGGCAATCAGTAACCTGAACAGTGTTTCTTCTTGGTTGACTGGATCAAATGAAATCTGAGTTGGGTTTTTGTTTTATTGAAAAAGCAGAAAGAGGAACACTGAGGACTGATTTTAAAGGGAACCTCAAAAGGGAAAGGTTTCTCAGACCCCAAAACCTCCCATTCAAAAAATGGCTAAAATTGGCCATTAGTTTATCTGAAGGGTGTTTTTCTTTTTTAATGTTTCACAAGGTTAAGGCAGTTACAAAAATGGTCACGTTAGGGTTTCTCGTGCATGTGTGGGGACTGTGGTGCTTGAGGTGACAAGGTCTGACGCAGCTGGTGCTGGCTGACCACCCCTGTGCATGCCCGGCCCTGGAGCATCGCTTTTCCCTGCTCATGGCAGGTAAGCATTTGTAGAAGGGCCTCATGAAAATCTCCAATAAGTCAGGAGAAACTGAGGTTCAACATCACCAGATCAGTCAACACTATCCCTCTGACCCCAGGAAAAGGGGAAGATGCTTCCCCCATGCAGAACAGGACTCCCCTTCCGGACCATCCCTGACAGCCGCTTAAAATGCCATGGGAATCTCACATGTACTGCATGTGGGAGGGAGCTGCAGCCTGAAAGCTCTGCTTCGGAAGATTTTTTTGTTGTTGTTGTTGGAAATATTTTAAAGAAAAATAAAGGAGGGGCATTCTTTCTTCTCTGGTACCCATTACTTGTGGGTCTGAAAGGGAAAGGGCTTAAATGTTGGCTCCCCAGGGCCAGGTCTGAGCAGTCTGCAGTGGAGAGGAAGGCTTGGGTTGAACAGAGTAAGTTATAAACAACTGCATGTCAATGGCCTGGATTTTAATTAGTTCCACTTGATTTGAGAGAGGGAGAGGTCAGTCCTCTCTGGCTTTAATTAGTGCTGCCTCTTGCATCGCACGCAGGGAGATGGGGCAATTTCCCCCTCTGTTCACACCCATCAGCCACAAGGAAGCAGCTCAGCTTCAGCTGAGATATCGATGTGCTCTGCAGAGCGACAGGGAGGAGGAGAGGAGGGTGTTTTGGATCCTCTGCTTTTCCAAGCAGATCGGGACGTTGCTGGAACGAGGCTAGGTGGAGGCTTCACAGTGGTAGCAGAGGGTGAAATGTTTATTAAAAGATCTTCAAGAGCTTGAGAGGAATGCCTTTGACTCCTGACTTTGAAGTTTGCTTGCATTACAAATGGCTGCAAACTGACCCATTTTATGTCTCATATTTTGTTCTTTAGAAATTTTCATTAGAAATGTCAAGTGTTACTGAATCTTTAGCACTTACCAGACATCAGGCATCTATAAACAGGAGAACATGTGGGTACCCATTCTGAGTACACTGTTGATTGCTCTTTGATGTTTTCCTTTATGACCCAATAAAAGCTTTCTGTTTAAATTAAAAAATGCCAACAACCCTGACAATTCTTCATGGAAAATTGCAGCTGGAGGAGGGGACATATGTCACTGCAACCACCTTTCAATCCAGAGGTTCTGCTACAGCCAAGGCCAGGTCAGGGCTGGCTGTGTGTTGCTCTATACGGTATTAACACCACACCCAGGTGGGATTTTTGGGGGGAGAAGTGGGCATGCTGGGCAATTTATATATAAGCTGTGAGAGGGTACAAAAAGCCAGCCAAATTCAGAGCAGAGCCCATTTTGGTGACAGTTTGTGGTTTCTCACTTGCATCCTCCTGACTGTTTTCCTCCCAGCCTCTCCATCGGGAAGGTTGTATGGGGTGATGTAGGGTGAGAGTCTCAGCTCTGCAGAGCTGAAGGCACCGCCCTAGATGTTTTGGGGCTGTGTGAAGAGCAGCGTCAGGCCTGGTACGCCTTTCTGAAGCAAGGGAAGAGCACAGTGCGTGTCCCCAGCCCCATCCTGCCTCACCTTGGAGTAGGTGGCTCCATTGATGACTTCTCCTTTCCGCATCCAGATGATGGAGGCTGCTGGCTTGGCATTGTCCGCATGGCAGGTCAAGTTGAGGGGGTCTCCTGCTCTCAGGCTGATGATGGGCCCCCCCATAATGACAGGATCATCTGGAGGAACTGCAAAGAAAAAGCACAGAGGAGATAATTTGACAAATGTCATTTGCTAGCATTAAACCAACCCTCCTGGAGTTACCTGTGGGGTCTGGGCTGCCAGGACTGGACTGTGACCTCTCAAACCTCTGCAGCTGGCTTTGATGTGGCTGTGGGAGCATGCAACCCCACCTCACCATATTATAGCCGGCTTGCCTTTTGCTGCTTACATGAAAGCTGTGCCTCAGATTTGAACTACGGTGGCAGAAACTGGCTGAAGTTTTAGAGGGGACACGGGCCAGGTGGCTGCCTGAGCTTTGCAGTAACATGAAGGATCAAGCCTGTGGCAGAGAAATCCACCAAGGGCTACTAAATACTCAGAAACACCTCTGGCCTGGGATGTCCCTGAGCTGCAAACTGTGGGAGGATGGGAGAGTATTTGAAAGAAATACCTCTGCTTGCTGGCCCTATTCTTCTATCCCTCCCCAGGCAACTGTAACTGGCTGCTGCTGGACACAGGATACGGGGCTCGGAGGGGCTTTGGTCTGACCCCTGTTCCTCTGACTGCAAACTGGAAGGTAGGTGAGCATGATTTGGAGGAGAAGGGCAGGGGAGCTGGGTTTGGACTGTTACCTACTGCACTCAGGGGTGAACAGCTTATGGGCATCAGGAGTGTGGTTTCCCGACCGCCTGTTTTGAAGAGGGCTCCCTTGCCAGCCCTCCATCACAGAGGGATGGAGGAACCCCTGAGCACTCCCTTGCCCTGCTTTGATTTCCCTGTCACTTTTGCTCATCATCCGTGCTGCTGTCTTGCCGCACAAAAGGTTGTGAAATTCCTCTCGTTCGGCCAGACTCCCTCTCACCGCAGTGAGTCTTTTAAGCATCTCCCTCTGTGAAAGCAGATTTTGCCGGGGATGTCAAGGAGACCTTTAAGATTTCAACCTTCCTTTGAAACCACCGCAGCCTGACAGCCTGTGTGAGGCTGCATCCTCATTACAGGATGTGGCTTTGCTGGTATCACACAGCCCCTGGGCATCTTTGTTTCTTGTGTTGGGAAGCACTTCATACCAGAGACAAGGAGGGATGGAAATAGGGAAGCAGGAGATGAGGGGCACCTGAGCATGGTCTCATCTTTTGTGACTAGCTCTTGAAGCCTGGCATCTCTAAACACCCCCAGCATGGTAAGAGATGGGAAATTCAGCTGGAGAGAGTGGCTTCCCTTTCATCCTGCAGAGACGACCTTTCATCTCTGCTACCCAGATTGGGTTCGGTCTAGCCAAGACCTGCTCTGAAGATGGAGAGGTCTGTACAGCTGTCAGTCTAGCTCTTCCCAACCAGATCCTTTGGGCAACCAGATGCAGGTCTTGCTACAGATAGACATGTTGCCCAGCCACCTCATGGCCTGTTTCAGGAGGTCCTGGGGCCCACGCAGCATTGGGAAGCCAGCAGAAGCGTGGAGGACACAGTGGAAGGGCATCCCTGTTGCAGCCCCTCTTGCCCAAGCAGAAGAGCTCATGCTAGCAAAGGGTGTAGGAAGAAATTGCTGCTTCACACCCAGCTCAGGAGCAGGTGGTGAAAGCCTCCTACCCTTCAGCCTCCTCACTGAGGGGATGCAGCTGGGGGAAACCTGCCAATTTTCCATCAAAGTGGAGCTGCTTTTGTTACAAGTCAGGGCTGTTTTCCCCCTCCCTGAGCTGGCTAGCACCAGGCTGAGCCATGCAAAGTGAATGTTGAAGTTGGGCTCTGAAATACCCAAGTACGTCTCTGCTTCTGCTCCTGAGCTGCCTTGGTGTTTTAGCTGGCCGAGAAATATTTAAAAACTCCTCGCTGGCTCCTCTAGTGCTGGGCTGAATTCAGGAGATGGAAAGGGATTATGTTCCCTGACAATTCAGAGGTGGCTGCCTGCATCGGCACAGGATTTGTAGGCAAGGCAGATGTGCTGGTTGCACACAAGGCTGGTCACATACACATCTGCCAAATGCTGTGAGTAATGTGATTTTTCAGCTCAGTGGGTGGAACCCAGGGACTGGGGGGGGGGAAAGCTTTTCTGCGTTGATCCAAAATGTACATTTTTTTCAGGCTACAAGAGTGGAAGAAAAATGTGAAGATCTGTGGTTTGGGTTAGTTGAAATGTGTCAGCCCCTGAATATGAAAATGTGGAAAATTCTGCTTAATTCTGATGCTACTTAACTATTAAGGAAGTATTTCTTTCCACTTTTTAAAAAAACAACCCCTTCATTGGATGAGTTATACTGTTTTTAAAAAAACATGATATTTTTCAATAGTGTTTTTCCCCTCACTGAAGCTATTAATTGAATTTGACCTCAGCTTGTAAAATATTGGAAATTCATCTTGTGGAGCAGGGGAAAAAAACCAACCCACAAGCTTTTCTCTGAAGAGCATCTCGGTATTAAATGGAAGGGACTTTTACGGTGGGTTGTTTAATATTCCTGACTGATGTCCTGTCCCACTGGCTGACATTTGAAGGCTTCTTTTTTTATTTCTTCAGTCACTGGCTTAACATCACCCCCTCAAAGCAGTCCAGCCTGTCTCTTAGCTGCCCATGAATCCCAGGGGATATGGGACAGGGAACAACCTCATGCATGGAACCACTTGTCTTCCCTGTGCCAGAAAACCTTGCTTTCTAACCTACTGTTCTGCTCCTTTTTCCCCTCTACTGGATTAGCAGCAAGACTCGAGGAGCTGCTTAAGGACATGAGAAGAAGAGAAGGAGAGAGAGGAGGTCCTGATTAAGTCTTCCCAAGTAAGTGGTTATCATCCCCCAGTTAGTTATTCATGTAGCCATGAGTTATTGATGGTCTCCAGGCTCACTAACCAGGGGATCTGGTTGGGGAGGAGAGGGTCTGATGAATAGGAATCAGCAATGCCTCTCAACAGCTCTAACTTCTGCAAATGAAGGATGGATGTATTCCTTCCCCAAACTCAAACTCCAGCCTGGGAGAGGAGGAGGAGGAGGAAGAGAAGAAAGAATGAAAGATAAAAAATGAGTTATTGATGGTCTCCAGGCTCACTAACCAGGGGATCTGGTTGGGGAGGAGAGGGTCTGATGAATAGGAATCGGCAATGCCTCTCAACAGCTCTAACTTCTGCAAATGAAGGATGGATGTATTCCTTCCCCAAACTCAAACTCCAGCCTGGGAGAGGAGGAGGAGGAGGAAGAGAAGAAAGTATGAAAGATAAAAAGAGGAGAAGAAGAAAGAAGGGAAAGCGATAAGACAGTGGCACAGAGCCACGATCCATTATTTATCCACTGTGCTCCCAGGATTGGTTATTATAAGGCACCACCACAGAATCCGGTTTCCTAATTTTTAATCATGTAGATGTAGAAGTGCTAGCCTTCCTGATTAATACAGGGATATAAATAGGAAGAGTTGTTTGGGGTTGGGGGGTGTGTGTGTTATTCCTGACAGCAAAGAAAATGGGGTTAACCTTTACGTGCCTGCAAAGTTCAAAAAGAATGAAGGAGAAGGGATCCATGATGGCTCAAGCCCACCAGAGTAAGAACAAGCCGGAGAGATGAATGACATGCAGCTGCTTATGGGCTGGGAGTCCAGACAGATCATCCCCAAACAGACATTGCACTGAGACCTTCTGGGGCGGGAGGTGAAACGCCCCAGCAGAAGGTCCCCTGTTCCTCACAGTGCACTCAGGACCTCAGCTGGAGAACTGTTCTTTTCTTCACTGCAGTCAAAACTTTCCAAAGAAACAATGACAAGCCTCTCCCCACCAGAACCCTGTTTTTCTGTCAAAACACAGGGCTTGCTGAATATTTTTAAACCAGCCTTGGACAGGCATTAATCTGTTCTCCATAGCTGTGGGCTGCTTGGATGAGTAAGGACAGCTTGGGGTCTCTGCTCCTTGCCCTTTGGAGCGCTTTGGGAAAAGCACATTTTACAGCACATCAGCATAAAGAAATACAAGTAAATTTGTGTTGGTCTTGGGCTGTGCATTCGGCAACTTCTTCAATTAGTTGGTTAGTTAGAGGCTTTCCTGCACACAGTCCCGCCCTGCAAGACTTAACTGTATGATTAATCAATGAGACCATGCAGAATTATTCAGCGCTGAACTAATACCCCAGGCTAACACTGCAGCTTTGGCTAAGAAATAACATAGATGTCTCTAAATGCTCCGGGCAGCTGGTCAGCTGGACAGTGTTGTGGCAAGCAGACAGAGCCTCAATTATTACCAATATTTATTGAGATAACAGGATCCTCCAGGCAGACATCAGCTCCTGGAAGTGGAGAAAGCAAAAAGCCCTCCAGCCACCAGTACTTCTTCCTAATTAAGGCTGACTGCTTTTTGTTGTTGTTGTTGTGGCTGGTACCTCCTTGCTGCTGGGTTTGTGTAACAAACCTTCTCTTCTTGGGACAATGTTAAGAGATTCAACCCCAAATGCTCACTGGTGGGGGAGGGCCACCCAGCTGCTGGGCTGGAGAGGCAGATACTGAGCAGCCCCTGAGGATTGCTCTGAGCCATGTATCTGCAAATAATGTTTGGCTGATGTTAAGACTCAGCACAAGTGTCCCCCCCCCCGAGGAATGAGATCCCTTGGGTTAAGGCATCGCTGACGCATTGCTCATCTTCCCTACGGGGTCTGTGACACTCAAGGCTCCGGGCTCATCTTACATGTGTGTTAAGCAAATAGCAGTGACCAGAAGATGCTCTTGGTGATCACTACGTGCTACAAACCATTAGAAAGTGCTTCCTAGCCCCGAAGCTGAGAGTCTAAATGCAGACCAAAAGCATTCCCAGCCCTCCACAGTAGTTTGCTAACAGTACTTGATTTGTGGATGTCCATTTGAGGACATCGAGGGGCTGGAGCGAGTCCAGAGCAGGGCAACGAGGCGGGTGAGGGGTCTGGAGAACAAGTCTGATGAGGAGCGGCAGAGGGAGCTGGGGTTGTTTAGCCTGGAGAAAAGGAGGCTGAGGGGAGACCTTCGCTCTCTA